CACCAAACCAAACTAAATAATTCTGAGACAACAATTCCATAATACAGGAATAGTAAAGTTCATGCGCAAACAAAAATGCAATTCTATCCGCATATGGAAATATGTAGATTTGTATTGATTTGCATGCATCCTCTAAAGACACAGGCTACACCAGAAGGAATGTGTGAACATAACATGTGGATTAGTATATATCATGCATCAGATGTTTCCTGCTTAGAGTAATCAGTAAATCAAGTTGTTATCAATTTAAATTCCACCATTTCAATCAGACTGCTTTAAGCACAATTAAATCTGGTTTCAGTTAACTGAACTGCAGTGTGATGGCTCCCAACTCATGGCTTGGCACTGCCTTCTTCTCGAATATTTTTCCAGCTTCCCAGTCTTGCCTATTATCCTGTAACTTCCTGGTGATCTCTCCTCTAACTGCTAAGCAGCTCTGACTTTCCTTAGCTTTTCCAGATTGGTTGTAATATTAAATTTAATGGGTCCACTCCTAATTACATAAACAATTTTTACAATGTAAGCTAGAATGTGTCCCAGATTATCTGAAGAGTTCCATATGTTTAATTATAACATACAGTTGACAGCATGAAATGAAACATTTAGCTCTATGTTATAATAAGGTCTTGCTGTTTTTCCAGCATAGGGTTTATGCAATACTACAGAATATCACTTTCAGCTGTGATGGAAAGTATTTTTCTGGCCAACTATGTTTTGCAGAAATTCTTTTTCTAATTTATGGAGAGAGGGAGTGTTACAGGTAGTCCTCGGGTTCTGATGGCAATTGGGACTGGAATTTCCATCGCTAAGTGATGCAGTCATAAAGCGTGATGTCATCTCGTTGACCACATCTCTTAGCGATGGCAATCCTGGCAGTCCCCATTGTTGTCATTAAGATTAACTTTGCTTGTGGGAAGATGGCAGGGAAGGTCGTAAATGGTGATCACATCACCGCAGGATGCTGTAATCGTCATAACTGCAAGTTGGTTGACAAGCGCCTGAATTGCAATGTTACCGTGGGGACACTGTGACAGGCCCAGCTTCGAAGACCAGTCGTAAGTCCCCCTTGTTCAGTGCCACCGTACCTTTGAATGGTTGCTGAATGAGTGGTCATAGCCCAAGGACTACCTGTACTTCTTTTTAAAGAATGTTCCTAGAAACAATTTATGAAGTCCATTTTAATAAACCTAATCACAGTATTTAATACACCAAAGCGCGTCTTATGAAATACACTTTCCACTTAAATTGCACAAGTGATTAGCTACTGTATATCAAACACTAGGCTTTTCCTGTCTTCAATAGCATATGTGGCTGACAGGAAGTTCATCTGAGAGCTGTCAAGCAATTATACATTATACTGTAAATCACAAGAGCCATGTGAAATTGAGCAGAACATAAATTAGTGCTTCTTCACTCCAGTGACAATATCAGACAATAATGCTATTATTAGCCGATTTATTTATGTGCCTGATTTTAAATGAACAATGCTAGTAGAGGATTACCCTAAAGTGATTTTTATGACAAGTATCAGATCGTTATAAAAGAAAAAAATGTGTTGATCAATCTACTTAAACACTTTACCATTTCTCAAATTTTTACATCTCATGTTCTTAAGGATATCAGAGAAATCTCAACTGTAAATCTACCAGTGGAAGAATTTGCTTTCTTTGTGCTGGATCAAAATTCCAGGTTTAAGTAATAGAAAACTGCTAGTTCATTTCCTACAACAATCAACAAGCACATACTTTTGAGAGCAAGTCAATCGGGGTGACAAAAAGCTGTAGCAAAATTCAGTCATATCAGCATTATCAAAATTGGGAGAATTTTAAGAGCAAGTACCTTCCTGCTGAGCAAAGCAAATGAGAACTCACTTGCTAAGTAGGATCTCTAATGCCTTTTCAAGAGGTTCTTTCAATTCTTGGAATACCTTCTCCCCGAGATGAGCTAAGCAGTCTTCAATTGAAGTCTCTGGGTTTGCAGGACTAAATACTGGAGATGTGTGGCAGTCAAAGCCAGTTGTAGTGAAAGCTGAAAATAAACAGCAGAGTTACTTTATGTAGGATTTAATATAATTAGTGAAAATATATTATAAAAATAGGAATTCATTAAAGTGTTTATTAGGAATACAGCTCAGGAAGAACACAATAAAGGTACAGAAGAATCGAAGGCAATCCATCATTTATTACTAAAATAAAGAGAGTGAAATAATACTTAGGATTTCTACCATTATTCCTGCCCACTCAACCCCCAACAAAAATTACCAAGACAGGAAACCACAATACATTTAAATCTTGTTGGATTATACCTTTACACCAAACATTTCAAATGCTGCAAATAACAAGGTAATGAGTGGTCAAATAGTGCTAGCGATCTGCTTGTTTAACAGTCTTTCCTCTGGGAACAAGGAAAAATTATAATACCTTTTCATAACATTAGCAACACAGGAAGGAAAGTACACCAACATGTACAGACCTTCCAAAATTTCTTCGTCAAGATGTTTCAATTCTTCCTCAATTTCTGCTTTAACTTTCTCTAGGATCTCTTTTTCTAAAGCTTGTGAGACCATAGATGATTCTGTTACTGAAAAAAAGCCCAAAACATGCACACAGATGAGCAGCAAAGATTAAGCACTATTACATATATTTACATTAAACAAAAATACTCCATTTTGTCATAAACATAGAAAGGCAAGATTGTATACTTCATACATAGAAGAATTCAAGCAACTTTTTCAAACAGTAAAGTATATACTAAAGAAAACTAATCATAAAGAACAATACACCTATATAGCTGAATCCTTTGTACATTAATAGGACTGTATTGCAAATATATATTTAATAATAGGAACTAAAGAAAATTAAGAAAGATTAAAGTGACCTCTTTGGGTATCAGTACTTATAAAGACCTGCCAATCTGATTTTAAATTTCCTGGAATATTAATTCTTAGAATAGTTTTATTTACAATGTTTGTTTGTCTGATTGCATATTTAAGTTTATTATAAATTGTCATGACCATTTTGAAAGAAAGGTAAAGTAATAAATATATAATCAACATTAATGTTGCAAAGTTATTATTTCCTAAATTTATTTTTCTTTACATGCAGCAATACATTTATTGTCTTAAACCTTTTTAATGTGCTTCTTTCTTTATTCCCTAAACTTACATTTTATGGAATGTGAGAGGAAGATAAGCATGTCATAATTACTCTACAACATGGACAGATTCTCTTGTTAAGTTCATCTGCCAAGATTCAACAATATAGACAATACTCATTAATTTAACTTAGACTAATAGCAGTAACTAGATTATTGTGACACTGGACGCCTGGCAGGAACTTCTATGTACAATTATTTCCAGTTTAAACAAACAAAACAAAAAACAACCAATTTGCCTGAATTGTTGCACTCCTGTGTATTAGAATTTCAAATATATTAAAAAAATGAACTAATCCACAGATTTCCTGACTGAAACAAAAATATTGATAATTAGACTTTTTTTTAATGTTAACAAAGGTAGAAACCTCAATTTAACAGACTCAGTTTTAGCAGACTTCACATGCAGCCAACAAAACATAAATCTGGCCTTTCCTTAAAATAATGGACAAGTTCATTATATCCCAAGTAATCCAGATTCTGAAGTGTTAAATCTAATTTATTCATGGTGACTGGCTATTTGGATGAATCATGCATGAATGATATATATGTTAAAATGATATATTTTCATATTTAATAAGTATTTGGAAGAATGGACACTTCACATTCCAAATAGCCATTCAGAATAAGTTTCAGTTAAAACTAGGTTTTTACCCACTATACTGTCAATGGATAAAAACCTAACATCAGATGGTATAATATCCCTCAGTATAGCAGCCTGCACTAAATGGCTTCATGTGGTATATTCCAAGTATAAAATAGTCCACCCTCTTATAACTGACTGTAATATATACAAGGAATTATGGCAGAAAAAAAAAATAACTGAATGGATCTTTTCCGTTCAGGTATTTTTCTGTCACTGCTCCTTATTTATCACTTCATCATGACCAAACCAGAAACACTTTTGTTCTGTATACATTTAGAAATGGCAAATAGGATTGAGTTTAAATTGGTGAAGAACCTTGTAAAACCCAAATCGCTAGAATCAAATCACATGAGCTCCTGGGTTCCATCAGGGAGTATTTTATTTCCCCTGCCTATTGGTGCTGGAGGATTTCAATCACGTATGCCTTAGGGGTAAGACCTGAGGCGGCTTAGGAAGTCAGGGCCTCCATGGCTGATAACGGCCCAACTCGTATGGGTACCCATGAGTTGGATCTTAACATTACTTAGAGCTGATTGTTATGGGGAAATGCCCAAGTAAATAAGAAATGCTTTATTTGGAGATAGATGCAACAAAGTATATTTAATTGATATGTACAATTGCACTGATCACTGGGCTACTTGTCAAAGAAACACAAAAGAGCCCCTAAACGCACAAGATTCCAGGTTATATACCCTCTGGAGATGATACCCAGAATTTACAAAGGACTTAATGTAAATTAAAACAGTACTGCAGGAATGTAGGATCTGGTAACAACATGGAGTGACCTTACTATGAGCTGACCTGGCACCTCTACATTCTGTTCTTCGAAAGAGACTCCAAGCCTGCACTTTCTACTGATACTAGCACCTTCTAACATAAGCGATGTCCTTCATTGTACCCATACATTGGTTCCCTTCAAATTATGGGAAATGTGACAATCTGATTTTTGTTAATTATCTCCTTCCTTTCCAGGGTGATTAGTTTACCTGCTCTGCCTAATATGCACTTCAGCACCATGTATGGAGGATATTATTTGTCCCCCACAAGATGCCTTGTGATCAGAAGGTGGAGGACATTGTGGTTAGTCTTTCGTCATATTTACATACAGCTCAAGGCACATCTTACCTCTGCAAGAGTAGTGGACTGATTAGAATGGTCCACCCCAGATGTGAAGATTCAACTGATTTTCAACAGATACTTGGGGATTTTCCCTATGATCTTACAGGGATCTCCACTGTGCACTTTATTAAGCTCCAGAAAGTAGAGACAAAGAAGGTATGGGATATGCTTTTATATTTTTGTGATTTTATATATTTTTTAACACTGTTAGCTGCTCGGAGTCATGAACTTGAGTGGGCAGCCATATAAATTGAATGAGTGAATGAATGAATGAATGAATGAATGAATGAATGAATGAATAAAATTATCACCAAGTGGCCTCTCTCTGCTAATCCCAAAAGAGCCTTTGTTTTACTAAGGAGCTCCAGGAGATCAAGTGGCAGAAGCAATACCTAATATCCCAGGCAGAAGATGAGCATGAGTGAGCACAGTATGTGTTCAAACTTAAGCTGTGGCAAGAAGAACAGCAAAATATCAGTACTTTCCTGCTCTTAGCAAATTGGATATGTATTAAAAATATGTCATGGCCAATTAGCTTTTGGAGTAAGATGAGTGGGATGATCTCCCTCCAGGCTGCAATGACATGTTTGCTAGACATTTTGCCGATAAAGCTGCTTATATTTGCTGTAGTTTAGATTGCAGCTATGCCTTGCAAAATTATTTTGGATTCCTTTAAACTTATGGATTCTGAGGAATTAGTTAGGGTTTTCTGTAACTTGAGTTCTGCCACCTTCGAGCTGGGCCCATGCTTCACCTGGCTTTTTCAGATAAGCAAGGAATATGTGTGCATGTGGATGGATTCAAGTGCACCCATTTCTGAAAAAGCCACATCTCAGTCCAATTGTACTGAACAGTTTGTCTGGTCTCCAGTCTTCCTTTTTGGGAGACGATTTTGAACAAGATTGTAGGACATCAGCTGCTAAGGATCATGGATGATTATTTTGATACTTTCTGTTCAAGTTCAAACCTGAGTATGGGACAGAAGCTGTGCTAGTCACTCTTGGAATGATCTCTGTTGGTACCTAGATGGGGAGAGTATATTTTTCCTAGTCTTACTGTATCTCTAAGCAGCATTCAGTACCATCAATCATGGTATCTTCCTGGACTGCCTGCAAGGGTTGGGGTAGGTGGCACTGTTTTGCAGTAAAGTTTTCCTGGGATGGCAGTTCCAGTTGATAATGATGGAGGAATGAGAGGACCACCTCATGGTCACTCAACTGTGGGATGTCACAGAGACAGGCTCTCTTCCCCATACTATTTAACATCTCTACGAGATCATTGGGAGAGGTCATTCATTCAGGTCCTCACTGATTCTGGCATTATGCCATCTTTGATTCTCAGTAAGGTGATGCTCCCTTTTATCAGGGCTGGAATCTGGGGATGCTCCTGAATTTACAGTTCCTGCTGGAACAGAAGATGGAGGCATGACAGGAAGGCTCTTGCCCAACTTAGGCTGCTGTGCCAACTACAGCCTTACCAAGAACAGGGGACATTGAAGACTGTTACTCACACCCTTGTAATCTCTCATATGGATTACTGTAATTTGCTTTATGCAGGGTTGTCCTTGAAGACCACCTGGAAACTTTAGTTGATGCAAAATACAGCAGCCTATATGATTAATGGACAGTGACATTATTGCTTTGTAACAACATTATGAGAGCTGCACTGGCACTAATATGTTTTCAAGTGCAATTCAAGGTCCTGGTTATTAGCCCAGGCCTGGCTAACTTTGAGATCACTTATCCCATGTAGATTCTGCCTGGCCAACTGGAGGGCAGAGAATGCCTGGTGAAGACTTCCACCTATTGAGAGAAGTGTCAGGATGGAGTCTGAAAGTGTGCATTCTCTGCAAGTACAGGGGTTCCTCTTATTTCAAAAAATTTGCTCCTTCCCACAGGCAGATGTAATCCCCTTCACGGCCTTCTGAAAGTTCATAAAACATGGCCATTCTGGAAGGCCCTTGGGATTTGTGTGCTGCAGAGCTCCCAGTTATAATGTTATATCAATTGTAATTTTTTAACAGTAGTTATAAGTCAAGTTGCTCATAAATTAATTAAGAAATAAAGTATGACAGGAGATAGGTTTCCCTTCACTATATGTTCTATAATTCTGGACTTCTGGGGGAAGTATGGTGAACTGAAGACGACTCTGCAAAAGCAAAGCCAACGATTGTGGCAATGACGAAGGAACTGGTGAGTAGATTGGTTCCTTGGAACCTCTCCAGATAGAGAGAGACAGGAGACTGACCTCATGTTCTCCAGATGGCTGCTCCCTGCGAGGAGACCACAGGTTTGAGCACCAGTAGACAACAGGATTAGCCATCTTGCTTGCAACCACAGCAGAGACTTTTAAAGAACACTAAGTTTGCAAACCTCACTTTCTAATCACTTTTGGAAATTGCTCACTGTTTCTAAGCTATTAGAAACCTTTGGAATGACAAATCTGAAAATGCTGGGTTAGTCTGCCTTTAATCCTGGATGAAAGAAAATTTTAATCATAAGCTTAAGAATTTAAAGAATCTGAAATAAGTCACAAAAAGCTAAATAAGATTTTGATCCTAGAAAGTTATAAACAGACTAATGGTCCAGATAAAATTGGAATATTGAAACTTTTACAATAAGATTTTGGAATTAATTATAAAGTACAAACAGCTTACTG